GTAGGAGTCATCTTCTAGCTAAGACAGTTTTATTTTTCTAACAGGGTGGTTGGCGTTTGGAATGAGTTGCCTTTGGATGTTGTGGGGGTAGTAAATTTAAGTGAGTTTTAGAGAAAGCTTGAAAAATATATGAATGATAAAGGCTGGCTTTAAGATTTAAAAAAAAATATATTTATTTAATAGTTTAGTTTAGAGGATGGGATAGCCGAGATGGACTAATAGGTCCCTTGTTGTTCCTAAATGTTGTTATGTTATTTAGGACATCGACAGGCTCTAAAATCTAAATTAGTGCTGTGATTTTATTTTTTTTTTGCTTAAAACAAATTTTAATAAATATACATCAAAACTAAATTATAAATTTAAATATTTCAGTTGTAGTTTTGTTTTGTAGGTGATTTGAGAAAGAAGATCAGATGGATTTTTGACAAATGTAATTATGTCATTTGCACTCATAAAAAGAAAAATGTGAGATGCTGAGCTGGAAAGGGTTAAGGAATAAGACAGTGGGAATACGACATTTTGTAGTATGATAATATATAGTGTTTTTAAAGCTTTTAACATCATTTAGAAAAATCAATAATTACACAGTAGCTATACAGAATGTTTACATAGTTTCAGGGAACTGAAGGAAATCTGTTTTATTTCCTTCTATCTCTTACAGTTTGAGCGGAACATTTCCTTTTAATGAAGATGAAGATATCAATGATCAAATCCAAAATGCCACTTTCATGTATCCACCCAATCCTTGGAAAGAAATCTCAGCTGAAGGTAATAAGTCATTGTTTTCAGATATGAACCATATTATCCATTTTAGTCTGTATCTTCCTTTACAGCATGCTTTTGTATGTACCAGAATATTCTGTTTTTGTTTTCATAATAACTGGAACATAGGTTTCCTTTGTAATCAAAATATTTTACAAAATCTATTTAAGAATTCTATGAAGTATTTTATTAGTATATTGAATGTTAAGTTTTATTGTGAAGACTAGAAGGTTAGGTTTGGAATATTTATGCAAACAATAAAAAAGGCTAAAAGGTATGTGAATTATTAAAGTCTGGAAACGATTGAAAACCAAATAATGAATAGTGAACAGAACTTTCTATTTTCAAAGTTTGTATTCAGATTTAACATTGCATGTTTTATCCTTTGACATTTTACAAATATCTCTGCTTCTCTTCACTTTATATTAAAGCTATTGACTTGATCCAGAATCTGCTACAGGTGAAGACGAGGAAGAGATACACTGTGGACAAATCTCTCTTTCACACATGGCTGCAGGTAAAGTTATGTACATGTAATGGTTTGATAGCTTCTTTAATGTTTAGTGGTAGTGCTTAAGCACTATAGTGAACTTTGTTTAAGAGGTTATGTTTAATTATTGTCGGTTTAAGATGTTTTGTGATTACATCACCATCTAAATCTCTCGTACAGGATTACCAGTTGTGGTGTGATCTGCGGGAGCTGGAAGCTCATGTTGGGGTGAGATACTTGACTCACGAATCAGACGATGCTCGTTGGGAAGCTTATAGACTAGAACGAAACCTCCCTCCACCCCCAGCCTTACCAATTAAAAATTATGATGCTGATCCAACCTCAGATTTGTTGCCCACAGAGCTTTTGAAGGTTACAGAATAAGTTTCATAAGTCAGTGTATCATATGGATTTTATTTGTATAATGATGCTTTAGTGTAAAAGGCTCAGTTAATAGAAGGTTCTTGAAATTTTCTAATATGTTTAAGCAAATTTTTACTAGAAAAAATCTTACATTTTTTAACTTATACGATCCTCTAAAGCTATTCTTTAGACTTATGATAAATTAAGATTTACTATTTAATTGGTATGTCATACACAATGATATGTAATGGGTTGTTAAGGTTACAGATTTTTTTATGTCTTTACAATGTTATAGCCTGAGATACATTCTCAAGTGTATGCTTCTGTAGTTTTTATAATGTTTTCATATTTCTGTAAAAATATAAAGTGTAGGGGAAACTACTGGTCAACATTTCTTATAATATTGTACTTTTTTTTTGGTCTGTATTTCAAAGGATAAATTTCTATTGTTTCTCAGTATGGGTTATCATTTAAGTTAATTGGATGTTTCAGTTTAGTTTTTATTTTTATAAATATACTTTGTAGATTTGTTTCCAAGTCTTTCATTTCCAATATTACTGGATGGCAATGATTATACTGTGTGTTTGGTTTGAGGGAAGTATTTCAATAACACAACTTGTATATAATACTTGAGTTTTGTGTGTTTTACTTTGGATGACATTGTATCTCGTAAGTATTATTATACTTGTTTCACTTTCTCCTCCTTCAGCTCTTCGCTTAAAATACAGTATGGTTCTAATGAAGGGTATCATCTTGTATTTTTTCACATCAAAATTGATAGTTTTAATCATTAATTAAGTCCGATAAATGCCACAAGAAACTTATTAGTGTTTTCAGGTCTGTAGCAATATATTCTACAATACAGAACAATCTGGAAACTATCATTGTTCAGTACACAGTAGACCTGAAAACTGTCATTTTTCAGTACACAGTAGACCTGAAAACTGTCAAGGTCTACTGTGTACTGAAAAAGAAAACTGTCATTGTTCAATACACAGTAGACCTGAAAAATTATCATTCCATATTAATCAGTAATGTGAAATTATATGCAACAAATTATATTTCTGGAGACTTGTTAGATGCTTGAAAGTATTTGATACAGATAGGTAAAGTCCAAAGCTTTCTTCTTTTTTAATTATATGCCATATTTGTTTGTATCATTTGTCAATATATAGAAGTACAGTTTTACAGAGCTTTCACACTGTTAAAAATGTTCTTGAGTCTGAATATTTCCATAATATTCTTGTTGATTTCATGTCTGATTTTTGGTGTTGGACAGTGTCATCACCGAGGTGAAACTTTGAGGCTAACAGTGTAAACGTTAGAATTTTTATAATTTTATTTTATCTAATATATCAGTTGTATCAAGTTCATTTGAAGTATAATTTTTTGTTTTCCCCTTCAGAACTTTCTTGCATTCAAAGTAGTTATAACTTGATTATAATTATTAGTGCTGTCCTGCATATGGGAAATAAGTGAAGTTAAGGTTTGTTTCAAGCACTTACATTTTGAGAAATAATTCTCACTTTTAAAAGAAATATTGATGAAAAGTGGTATTGATTTCGGTACTTTACATCTAATTCCATGTTCGTCATAAAATTTGTTCAGGACAAGTCAGACTATTAAGAATTTCCTGCACTGTTAAAGTTTGTTTGAAATCATTGGTGTTACTGTTGTAGATATTCTATTCTTTATTATCGATTTCATTCAGGAATCTGATATACATTTGCAGTAATCCAAGGGAAGATCATGTATTTGTGGTGTAAAATATTTCCCTCTATCAGCAATTTTGTTTAGTAGGTGCAAAAAAAAAGTACAATGCTAAATCAAAGAATATGTAAACAGAGATTACACAGACTGGAATTATGTTGCATCCAGTAAACTTAAATGCTCAGCTGATGAGAGATATAAATAATGATAAATAGTATAGGGTTTCTCAGAATGTTTTTCTTGTGCAAGACTTCTACGTTATTTAAAATGTTGTATTTCTATAGGTTGATATGGTTTGAATTAGAAGACGTTGTTTTTTTATCCTCTTGAATTATATATATATATCATTTGACTTACCTTGCTTTCTTGTTGAGTTTAACGTTACTTGCTGACAAGAAAACGTTATTTTTTTTAAGGAATATGAAATACTAATTCACATTTATTTTTTACTATGTTTTCCAAAATTATTCCTGTTAGTAAAATAATTTTTGCTCTCTTCTTCAGTTTAATGTTACTGGTCGATACATATGTTGATTTTATAAAAAAAAAAAAAAAAAATTGAATACATGATTATGATAAGATTGGAAAAATACTTTTGTTGGTTTAATATAATTAGATAACATTCCTTTTTTCTGAACATTCCACAAAGTACATCTTAATTTTCGTAGTTGACATGATTCTGAGTGAGATTGGCATCTTAGAGTTTTAACACTTCTCCTAGGTCTATGATTATGACGATTATTATATAGCCTGGGCAGTTGTGCCATTTTGTTCTGACTGCTCTATTTGTATTCAAAGAATGTGTCACCTCACGACCTTTCACTTGGTTAATTCCTGTAAAGTGGCTCCATATCATCAAGAATCAGTTTCCATGACAACAGTCTTTTTGACTGAACTGTACAATGTGATATTAAGTCTTTATAGGTAACCATGTTAGTTAGAGTGGTTTTTATATTTTCCGTGCAAGTTTTAAAACTTTTTTTTAAGTGTACTGTAGTTTTTATTTCACTGTAGCAAACATTGGTTTAGCTATACGTAGCTTGTTCATTTAGTAGAAAGTATTTATTGGAGTTGACAAGACCAAATAAACTATTTCATTGTTTGTAAGCTTACACAAACAAAACAAAACCACAGGGTTGTGTTTAGTACACATGTGCAATATATCGTCATTGACGAATCAGTCTCTTGTAGGTTTGGTACCACTAACCAGTGATAGTTATTACGGAAAGATATGTATTTATGTTTTTGAAGTATTTTTATAGATTTCAAAGATAACCTCAAGAATGACTAATAAAATAAGTTAGAAGTAATTCTATTACTGTTTTATTAATGATCAAAACAATGGAAATGTAAAGTACAAGAGTTGAAACTATTTGATTAAGATTTTTGTTGAAAAATAATAACTTCAAAGTAATATGACATATCTGTGGAATCTGTAAAAACAAAAAAGTAATAAAAAGAGAGCAAATCTGAAGTCCAGTTAACTAGTTTGTTTTCCTTTGATGAAATCCCAGGGTTGTTAGTGTAGATAATATTTTCAATGTTTGCTAGTATTGAAAAGAAATACTTCATCTTATTAAAGAATGAGTTACATACATATTGTTTAACACTTGATTAAAGAATATAGTGTTTGAACTAATGAAAAACTCAAATCTTATCATTTTTGTCCCTGAAAGTATAAATGTTCAATAGAAAGATCAGCCTTTGAAAATAATCATAAATTCATCTATAATTATTCTGGGGAAAGGAGACTTCTCACATGTTTACTAACTGAGCTTAAGGTTTAACCCACTAGTTACTGCAGAAGTAGCAATGTGATGGAACCTTAATTTTATCCAAGCCACCTACAGTTATTTATGTATGTATATTTTGTAACAGTCACTTCTGAAACATTTCCATTTTGTGTATATAAAAAAACAAATGTCAATCCAAATAAATGGTTAAACTCACTGGAAGAGAGAAATAATTATATGGGCCAGATTTTAGCCAAACACCCTTCTTTGGGACCTGATAAAGGTTGTTTGGCTAAAATGTTGACCAATCCAAATAAATGGTTAAACTCACTGGAAGAGAGAAATAATTATATGGGCCAGATTTTAGCCAAACACCCTTCTTTGGGACCTGATAAAGGTTGTTTGGCTAAAATGTTGACCGTAGAATTATTTTCCCTTCCAGCAAATTTAACCATTTCCATAAAAAGAAATTCTGAATTTTCCTGAGGAGCCAGCTAAGATAATCTTAATTTCAAGAAGGTAATTATTGCACTGAGTACATGATATGTAATAGTGCAAAATCTGGTACTGATAAACTTTATCAGAGTAACAAAAAATGTTTACATTTTTACATTGAAAGGGTTGGAAAAGCAACAGGATCTTTTCTCTTAGAATTGGTTGTTAATAACTAAAGCAAGTAAGTTTTGAAAGGAGAATTCTTTTATCACTTTTTTACAAGTGGGCTGATGGTAGGTTAAAAAGTATATTTCACTTTTTATATCAGCTTTATACAGAACTTTACAAAGCCTGTTTATGGAAATGCAATGCATTTGTAATGGCATTTCCTTCATTTTTTTTCTATTGTTCTGTGTTGGCTGTAGTGAATTTCATTGGTTGATGGTCTTGTAATAATGTATTTAGCACTTAGCATGTATGGTTTTATGTTAAGTATTGGGAACAGTTAATCTTCCCTAGGGTTTATAAAGAGGCAATACGTTGCTAAGATACGGTTGTTAGTTATAAGGGTGGTAGCAATTTTTTTGTATGAATTCTTTGGTCAGAGCAATAGATATACTTAAAGAAAATACTATCGAGATAAATAAATTATTAAAAGAAGTGAGTTTTCTGTAATGGTTGGTAATTCAGTGTCTTACCTTTCATGGTTCACCTTGTAATTACTGCCTTCTCTGTAAAGTAAAAATCACTAAGATTTTGGAAGACGTTATTCCAGTTGTAATGCTGTGGTTGATGTTTATCCTTGGTTCATCCTGCTGTTGATTCACATTACTTCCAACTGTCACTGTGAGGATAGATACTGATATCTGTGAACAGTCATTATTTAGATTAAACATTTTGAGGTAAAAGTTGTAGTTTTTACTCATGCTAGAAACATTGAAACGATTTGTTGATTTAGGACCTTGAGGTTAGGTTATGCAGTTAGTAAGTTAGAAGTATTGAGAGTCCAAGGTTTTTTATTACTTTGAAAATCATTGTACTTTTGCTGAAAAAATAAACAAGATATTTTCCTTGTACATATAAACTTTTTTAAAGTATTTTAAAATATTTGTGCATGTCTTACAGCTTAAATGTAACAATACATGCATTTTGCGACATATTATAACACAGGTGCTATAATAATAGTTTTGTTGTTTGTATGCAGTTTTTAGTCACAAGTGAAAAACTGAATCATATTAGATAATCGTAGAATAATAATAAAAACATTAAAATTATTTCTGTTGATTAGTGAAATATCCCAAAATATTTCAAACTTTTTGTTTGAGGTTGTAATTCCCACTAGAAATGTGTTGATAAACTTTGTGCTGGTAGTTCTTCCATCAATATTTCACTTTGATATCAAGCTGAATTTACATATATCACAGTATAGGCAGGAAATATTGCCTGCCTGTTTTTCTTTTTTGTCACAAAAGTTAAAAAAAAAAGTTAATCTGGTAATTAGCTTGGCATTAAATTAATGTTTCATTTTGTTGCTCTTATTGAGTTTAAAGAAAAACTTAAATATTGGCCTGTTAGATCTTTAATTTATATACTTACAATTAATTTTTATTTTATTTTGGTGATTATATTTAAAAAATAAGTTTCTGACAGTAGAATTAGAATGTGATGTAGCACTGAGTTGTCATAGTAATGTGAAAGGTAATTTAATTTTTTTATATTGCTGTAAGGTACACTTTTTTAAACTAATGGTTTTCCTGTCAACTGTGCTATAATGTAATCTTTTTTTTTTGTGAGCACAGTTTTCATTGTATAAGTCAAGGCTATATTCATATCAACCTAAAATGTAGCTGATACAGATGAGAATCTTCCTTTTAACTTTTTCTGAGAATTACTGTTGGAAAGTTTTTTAATTATCTGTATGTGTGAATAGCTTTTTTATTCCCATATATCCCATGATTATATCCTAATCCTGATTAAATTTTGTATATTTTGAGGGAGATAGATGTGAGAAAGAGGAATAAAATCAGTACTATTATCACACTTGACAAGTTAGTTTCTTCATTTTTTTAAATTCTGCCACAGATCTAAACTCCTTTCACTTTTCTGACATACTGCCTAAATGAGTTCTGTAGATCATGAAGCGTATGTTCACTCACAAGTTATGTAAACTGTTGAATACATGTGTATGTTCACTCACAAGTTATGTAAACTGTTGAATACATGCGTATGTTCACTCACAAGTTATGTAAACTGTTGAATACATGTGTATGTTCACTCACAAGTTGTGTAAACTGTTGAATACATGTGTATGTTCACTCACAAGTTATGTAAACTGTTGAATGCATGTGTATGTTCACTCACAAGTTATTTAAACTGTTGAATACATGTGTATGTTCACTCACAAGTTATGTAAACTATTGAATACATGTGTATGTTCACTCACAAGTTATGTAAATTGTTGAATACATGTGTATGTTCACTCGCAATTTATGTAAACTGTTGAATACATGCATTTTCTTATGACTTGTTCTCATCCGATAGCTTTTTACTTTGTAAAGTAAATACTAGTTTGATATTGAAATCACAAGACATTGATTGCTTTATTGTTTGTTTGGAATTTTATGTGATGTTTTATTTTATTGCTATGAAATATCCTATGTTACAACGAATCTTAAAAGAAACTAACAGAATATATTCTGGGCAACAACAAAATTTTTTTCTCTTCTTCTAGAAAAATTGTAACTGTTTCTGAGTATTTTAACGATGCTGATTCTAAAAAACGTGTTGAAAATTACTGATCACCTCTATTTTTTTGAGTTATGATAGATTTATTCAAAATATTCTGATATATCATGAAAATAGCTATATTTTCTTTACTAACTTTATTTATTCATTGAAAATTGCATTTAAGAATGTATAATCTGCATGCTTTGATAAGTTTCTTTCATGTTCACAGCATGAGCAACAGGAATCAATAGCTTAATGTTCCCATTGTGCAAAAGTACAGCTTTAAGACTAACTTTAGATGAATTGATAAAAAGTCCCCATTCTTGAGGAGGATGTTAAGTACCTAATTCTTCCATTAGTGCAACAACATTTGTTTACAAACACACAGTATCTTCCATGCTGTAGTGAGAAGCAAGACTTCAGTAACTTGAAACTCTTGTTTCTGGAGCTAATATATTCCATTGCTGTAAATGAGAGCCAAGAAGTTCACCATGTTGCTTTGATAAAGACAAGTCATGAATCAGATCATTTAGCTCTTCTTTTGTGATCAAATGAGACAGGTTATGTTGAGGTGCCACAGGAATAGAACTACAAGATGAAGAGAGTGAAGATGGTTCATTTTCTTCTTCTTAGGAGACCTTTCTTTCTTGATTTGCTGGTGGATGTGGCACTGGAAGACCATCCCCATGAGGTACTGGTTTCATTGCAGATGCAATATCTGGATATTTAATGTATTGTTTAGTTTTGCCTGAATATCCAGAAACATTAGTCATGCAAAAATAACTGTTCATTACATGATTTTTTGGCTCACACCATATCATGGGAACTGCAAATGGCATATTTGATCTTTTCTTATTCTGCCGAGTCAAGCCAGATGTGCAAACTATACAACACATGCAGATATGATTTTCTAAAAAGTATAAAAGAATTAATGTTTACAGAACTAGAGCTTAGAGGATTTTAAAAAACTAACTTTTGCAGAATTTGATTATATCATGGGCATGATGTGAGGATGAAGATCAGACTTTGTTTTGCCCATGCACGGAACAAGGCGAAATGAACAACTGAGTGAGAGAGAGGCACCTGACTCTGCCCCTTTTATGTTAAGTCGAGGGATTTCTAACATCTTCAGAAATTAAGCAGAGTTGGTTGATATGTTTCCTGTGGTCACAAAAGTAAAACTGACACTACACATTGTCTATTGAGAAAAAATAAAGTAGAATAATGCATTATTTCAAAGATTTTCTATTTGTTATACATAATATAGGATTAAAAGTCAGAAAAAACTATTGGTAAGTTCTGAAAGGGAGGATTCACAGATGGGCATGGCAAGAAGGGTCTGATTTTCCAATTGATAGCTCTTAATTAATTAAGATTGAAGGCAATAAATACTAAGCTTTGCCTGAGCGATGACAATCTTATACTGCCCACCACAAAAGCATTAAAAAGAGACGTAGGCCTGCCTTTCTCAGAAACTGTTAAATAAGGTCTTCAGACCAGTTTTGCAGTAAGCATTTGTAACAAGCACAGGCTTGTTGTGTACCAAGCTGTCTTTGGCACTTTTATTTTGCACCTCAGTACTTGTTGTGAGGTTGTTCTTCAAGTTTATGGGTCACGGATATCTTTAAACGAGACATTTTTGATACATAACTGTTACATGAAGTTGGTGTTCTGCATACATGTGTAGACACACCAAGTTTTACTCTTAAGAAAATGGATATCAGGAAACTTTGCAAACACCCGCATAAATAACAGGATTCTCGGGAAGATGAATCTATCAAAGAGACAGAGAAGCCCCGAAAGACTAATGATGAAATAGTCGTACCTGAAGACCCAACAGAGGATAGACTATTGAACCAAAGAGGCGGTTTGGATACTTCTGATCAAGAACATGAAGATATATTGGACAAACCTGCTAGCGCTGGAGAATTACATGAGCCGAGCAGCAGCAGTAGATATAATTTTGGATGAAATTAGAGAAGTTCAGTACTTTTCAATCTTAATTGATGAAATTAAAGTCCTATCCAAAAAAAGAGCAGATGAGTTTAGTACTTTAATGATTCAGAAGATCATGAAGAATTTGTTTCGAAGGTGTTAATGAACTTGACACAGAATCGTTTGCCAAATATGTTTTGGAGGATGTAATGGACAATGGACTTGATGTCACAAACCTGACTGGTCAAGGATATGATGGCACCATCGTCATAAGTGGCAAGTGTTCTGGGGTTTAAAGACAACTCATACCTCAAGCCACCTACATTCACTGTTTTGTTCATCATCTTAATTTGGTCATCATAGAAAGTGTGAAATCTGTTACCACTGTAGCTGGGTTTTTTCTCAACACTTCAGACTTGCTACAATTTTTTAAATGGTTCTAATGTGCACTCACAGTGGATTACTTTCCAAAGAAGAAAAGATGTGCACCCAAATGAAAAGCCTGTAGAATTTAAAACAATGTCGGAAACACAGTGAGTTTGCCAGGTGCATGCTGTTAGTGTAATTGTAGCAAGGTTTAACTATTTTATTAAATTTCTACAGCATGTTGACATAAGTGACAGCAATCAAGACTGCATTAAATGCCCAATCCATTTTGGCAAAACTTGATCAGACATTCATATACTGTATGCTGTTTCTGAATGACATCTTAGTGAAACAAAAGGAGCATCAGATATGCTGCAATTTCCAAATTAGATTACTAGAAAGTAGCAGATTTCATCGAGCGTCTTCTAGCAGAGTTGCAAACCTACAGATGTGACGAAAAAGCTGCACATTATTTTCTAGAAGTTTGCAGAACATCTCAAACAGACATTTACAAGGTTATAAAGGTAACAATAACTCTCCCAGTTAGCCAGCTGTGAAAGGAGCTTTAGCAAGCTAAAACTGATCAAAGGTCACCTTAGAACCAACAAGGCAAGTAAGAGACTGAAGAGTAATTAGCATACACAGAAAACATGCTCTTTCCATTGATTTTGATGATGTAATTGACATATTCACTATTAAGTTTTCAAATACAAGGTTAATGTTCGTTTAAAGTCAAAGAGGAGGATCATTCAGGTTGGTGTTTTGGTAAGTTCATGCTTAATTTTTTTTTTACCATTATTCATTAATCCACTTTTAAAGAGACTTGTTATCCTCCCCCCCCCCCCCCATAAAAGAATTGCTAGAATGGTCAAAACGTCTTGATTCTTTTCAAGGTCTATGAGTAATTTGTGGCTTCAAACTTCAGTACAAAGTACTTTTTGAAACCCAATGCTGGTTCAATGTTTGGAGTTCTCATTTTAAAACGTATGCCTTTTACCCATTAAACTGTAAAAATAATCTTAATTTCACAGCATAAATCTGTTGTACTGAGTTAACTGCATTGTATTTCACATAGTGCTGATAAAATATTAAGATATTACAATAACTCAAAATCTAGAGGGGTGAAGGACAAATTCTGACTACATTTTTTAAATCAGCATCATCAGTTTACCCCAAATGATGCGTTTTCTCCAGTAGCACATTTTTTATTGTGTAGTAATATTGTACCAAAATGACTTATTTAACAGTAAACCTTACAATAAATTTAACAGAATTTTATACTGAAATGCTATATATTACAAAAAAAAAAAATTATTCTGAAATACATAACCTTACAATAAATAACTCGTGCTCTGAAACATCTAACCTTACAACGTACTAAAAGTGCTTTGTACTCAAATGCCACAAAAACTACAAGTATTCTGTTCTGAACTTTGTTAATGTGTATATGAAGCTATCTTTTCTAACTTAGTTGCTCTTATATGACTTTCCAACGAGTCACCTCTCACCAATTTCTGTAGAATGAAGTGATTTTGGTCACAGTTATTACGAGTTAAACCTGTTTTTTTTCATAACTTTAATTGCTCCCCAGTGATAAGTCTGAAGGCTTATGATGCTAAAAACTGGGCTTCAATACCTGTAGAGAGCACAGCACAGATAGCCCATTGTGTAGCTTTGTGCTTAATACAAAACACACTTAATTTCAATTCTGCTATTAATTTTTTTGTAAGTTATATATATTATTCTAATCACTTTATTTGCCTTTCAATGACAATTTTTTTTATTGTCTTAGCTTTTGATTGAACTGCTTTACCCTATGCTGTCATAATTGTCAATTTATCATACCTCTTATCATACCTTTGAACCATATTACTTATTTTTACTCTTAACTGGACACTTAATAAAAAAAATCAGTCATCACCATAACTTTAGTACTGGAGATGAATACATAATCAGTTTCAGGACCTTTACAAAAGTAACTATAAAAATAGGCAGTATTATGAAAGAGCAGCTTC